TCGGCTCACTGCAACCTCCGCCTCCTGGGTTCAGGCAATTCTCCTGCCTCAGCCTCCTGAGTAGCTGGGATTACAGGCACACACCACCATGCCCAGCTAATTTTTTTTTGTATTTTTAGTAGAGACGGGGTTTCACCATATTGACCAGGATGGTCTCGATCCCTTGACCTCGTGATCCACCCGCCTCGGCCTCCCAAAGTGCTGGGATTACAGGCTTGAGCCACCGCGCCCGGCCTGTTCCTCAGAATTATTAAAAAGTTCCCTTAGAGTTGGAGATATCAGTATGAACTGTTTAGCTCATGTAGGTATAGATGACTCTGGAAATATTTACATATGCTTGTGTAGACACAGGTTACTATACAAACATGTATTTCCTTGCTCTGTCAGATAAAAGGGCACAGAAGCAACCTAACTCTAGCAACAATGAGTACACCTTGCACCCAGATCTTGTTTTCTAATACGATTCTGCAATAAAAGGAACCAGGGGTCTTTGGAGAAATGACTGATTCTGGAACTAGGACAGGAAACGTACAAGGTAAACCTGGAGCATCTTCTAGTGCCAGGAAGTAAGGATGTGCTAGGAAAGAAACAAAAACACCTCAGTGACCGGGTTAGAAAGGGACACAGAAGCCATCTGCAAGACTTCCCAGTGGCTACAGCTGAACCACTAATACAAGAAGATAAAGTGGTATTAGTGTATAAACTTAAAGTATAAAATAATTTTACGTGAGTCCATACTGATGTGAATAAATAATTAAATAAATGGGAAATCTTGCATGCAGCATTCCAAGTATTAATAATTTGATGTTGCTACTGTCTCCTCAAGGAGTAGAACATAACACCTTGAGTGTGGGTTGCCCACAGTGACCTTCTTCCAAAGAGTACAGTATAGAAAGGGGGCAAGGGAGAGTAAGTTTACAGTGGAGAAACTTGTCAAACACTACCTCACCTAGGTAAACAGGGTCAGCATCCACAGTAATAGTTGAGATATGTTCACTTGTTGTAATGAAAATAGAACTTTATCACTGTGGTCTTATTCCCAAAACCCCATCACTTCAATCTAATTATGAGAAAAGCATCAGACATATTCCAGAAGGACATTCTACAAAATACCTGACCATTACTCAAAATGTCATCATCAGAACCAAGGAAAGTCTGAGAAACTAATAGCCAACAGGCTTCTAAAGAGATAGGACTAGGCCGGGCGCGGTGGCTCAAGCCTGTAATCCCAGCACTTTGGGAGGCCGAGGCGGGTGGATCACGAGGTCAAGAGATCGAGACCATCCTGGTCAACATGGTGAAACCCCGTCTCTAC